AGAGCTCACTCAAAAGTGTGAGCTCTGAGCAACAGTGGTTCTATTCCCGGCCCGAGCTGAGTTGCCGCTGAGCTGCCAAACAGGTGGCAGGATGGCTCAGCTAAAAAAAATAAAATTAAAAAAAAAATAAAACAATGCTTAATTTATCCTTAAATTTATTTTCAGGGCTTTTTATCTCTTCTTACCACAAAGCTATTACTTAGCAACAACCTCTGTCTGTATATTTTAAGAATTGGCCAGCAATTTATTGCTGATACTGCAAACCTGTTTATCACGTGTAGTGGGTTTACAAGTGCCCCCCCCCACCCCCAAAAGGTGTATCCAGGTCCTAACCTGCTTTGGCTATAAATATGACCATATTTGCAAATTAGAGTCTTTGCAGATTTAAGGATCTCCAGGTAAGATCATCCTGGATTTAGAATGGACCCTAAATCCAATGACTGCCCTTATGTGAGACAGAGATTTGAAACACAGAGAGGGACACAGGGAGAAAGCCATATGAAGACAAATGCAGAGTCAGGCAAGCCAAGGAGCGATAAGGCTAGTGAGGTGCCACCAGAAGAGAAGCCAGGACAGAGAAGCATGGAATTAATTCTCCCTTTGGTCCTCCAGAATGGACCGACCCTGATTGATTTCAGACTTCTGGCCTTGAGTTTCAGAACTGTGAGAGAATAAATTTAAGCTATCCAGCCTGTGGTAATTTACAGCACCCTGGGAAATGACTATGCCTATTATTTATTATCTATCCACTATTTTTTATCTTATGTAGGGAATGCAATTCTAAAAAACTAATTATATGCAACCTCGCAGATATGTTTTCTGCTCAACTTGATATTCTTTAATATCAAGGTCACTTACAAAATTTTGTATTTCTAAACTGCCTCAATGATGAATGGAACATCATAGATCCAGAACTTAATTTTTGGTGACCACTGTCTATTTTGACTGTCATAAAATAATTTCTAATTGAAATTTGAGGGCACATTTTCTTTTTCCCTCGGAGCTCCCAGATATAGGCGTCCATGCTCTCTCTCCAGTCACTATGAGTTCAGGCAGGCCAGAGCATAGCCAAGTTAGTGTGGGCAGTCGAAAATCCATTAGCAGGAGGCTTGAAACTCATGAGAGACAGAATAAGCCTTTTAGCCTTTAAGGATTACAGTCAACAATATTATAAACTTCAAAGTTGCCAAGAAACTAGATTTTAACTCTCACCACAAAAACATAATAATTACATGTCAAATATGATAGAGGTGTTAGCGAACGCTATAGTGGCCATCGTTATTGTAATACATAAATGGATTCAATTATATCTAAAAAGCGAAACAAAACCTCCTGTCTGCATTAGCTGCTCAAAATGCGCAAAGCTGAGAATGGGATAAGTGACTCCAGCGCGCACCAAGATGAAGGGCTGTGATGACTGGCTGGGCACACAGGTGAGATTCCCCCAGGACTCGCCACACGAGGAGGGCAGGTCCAGGCTTTTGTTTTCGCTTCCCCTCCATTCCATGGAATGCACTTAGCCTCCTGGTGGAGTGGCTACTCCTACGTAGTTTCTTAAAGGTCACTTCCTCAAGGACTTCTTCCCTGGCATTCCAGATTCAACCCCCACGCCATTATACGTTTTCATTGTATATTTTCTCTTTTGTGTAATTGTTATTATCTCATCATATTCTAAGCCCTAAAGCGGGACCCTGCCTGTATTGTTTGCCATCTTCTTCCTAGTGCCCAAGGCAATGCCTGACACCTAGGAACGCAACAAATATTTATTGAATGAGTGAACGTGAGATTCAAGTCAAAGACTACTATCATTGTATTATTTTTAAATTTTTTGCCTCTTGTGTTAATGTAGCTTGATCCACGCCTGCCAACCTCCCCAATGTGAATAATTCTATTTTAGTCCCTGGGTAAGCCCAAGTTTCCATTTACGTGAGCCCCTCCCGACTTCAATTTCATAGAGTGGTCCTTGCAAACAGCGGCCAAACTGCCCAGAGATTTTTCAGTCAACAATCAGGGTAAAAGGATTTGTAAAGTGTATTAGTTTGATAGGGCTGCCGTAACAAAAATACCAGACTGGACGGCTTAAACAATGAAAATTTTATTTTCTCACAGTTCTGGAGGCTGAAAATCCAAGATCAAGGTTGGTTTTCTCTTCTCTGCTTGCACACTGCCTCATTCGTACTGTTCTTACGTGGATTTTCCCCTGCTGTCTCGGTATTTCCTAATCTCTTTATAAAGACCCTAGTCAGATTACATTAGGGTCCATCCTAATGCCCTCATTTTAACCAAATACCTCTTTAAAGCCCTCCAAATACAGTCACATTCTGAGGTACTGGGTGGGAGGGAGTAGGTAGGGTTTCAACATATAAATTTGGAGGGGGACAAATTCAGTCCATAACAAAAATGAAAAAAGAAAAAAAAAAGGAAAACAATGGGAAAGCTCTGGGGGAGGCCCAGTTCTCAGAAAATTAAGAGCCAAGAATTCTGGGGTTTTAATGATGGCTACAGGTATCAAATACATCAAGGAGTGAAATTTATACCAAAAGGTTACATATGAGTGCTGCTGTGGAGATAAATATGTATGGATATTGAAAATTGAGTACTACGTACTTTGAAATGAGTAAGAAATGGCCCATGACCTCAAAGTATTAACTTGGAAAAACACATTTTTCAGTACATAAAATTACAATAGTAACTACGCCAAAGAGGAGATTGTGGCAATATTAACATTGGAGCTTCTTACCAATTCACCAGAAGAAAATTGAAAATAATGATTTACATTTTTCATTATGCTAGAGTATAAAGCACATTTGGATAGGGAATCGGCTATCCCAAATTTTGGATTGGGCAATATTTTATAACTGACTTCATATAATTGACTCCTTGGTCAAGAATTTCCTCAGGTATAAAATAAGGGGTCAGGTAACATGATCTCCGAAGTCCATTCCTGGTCCAATATTCTAGCAATTTCTTTGTTAGAATCAGTTTTCCATCCCATCTTCTACAGAACTCAACTAGTCTCCAGCACTGGTTAGCTGCTGTGGTTTGACAACCTGGTAGCTAACTGTTAACAGGTTATTAGCACCAAAACATTTAAAGAACAGTATAATTACCCATATTAATACTACTTTTCTTCAATTTGATACACTTGAAGTGCTGACACCAACACAAATTAATCCATTAAAGGCATCAGTTTGCCTCATATTTCCTTCGTTTCCTATTATTTCATTTATGCTTAAACAGATTTTTAAAAATAATTGTCCCGATTGTTTTTATAGCAATGCAAATGTCTTCATGTGTCTTGTTGCTATGGTACAAATATAGTTGGTAAAGCATTTTATAATAATGAGACATGTAGCATTTTTTTCAAAGTAAGTATTTATTAAAAAAATTAACCGAAGTGGCGTTTTTATTACTCATAAATTATCATAAAATATTTAAACAATTTGTGTTCTCCAAAAGTGTTTTTACATTCTTCATTGGCAGTGCATTTTGATGGTATGAAAAATACCTCACAAACATTCCATATAACTTTGTTAGAATGTATGTAGGGCAGAAGCCAGAATCCCAACAGTGAATTGTAAAAAAATTTTTTTCAGTTTAAGTATTGCAGCAGTTATATAAACAGTGAGGATTACAGAATAGTAAATGAACACCTGTGTATAAATTTTCAAAGCAAACAAAATGACTAGTTTTATATTTTTCATTTTGTTTCAGCCTTTCCAAAACACTTTTAAAAGCAAAAGTTGAAGTTCTCCAGTTACCCGAAATTTCAAAAATCTATTATACTTTGAAAAACTTAAAAGCAGCATCATTTCAGTAGTGGTTAACTCACAGATGTGCACACAACTACAACGGCCCTGTCGCTCAAGCCTGTCAGAGGCACCAGTTTCAAGTCAAGGCCACGCTGGTGTGGAAATACAGCCCAGGGCATCCAGGTCCTTTCCGGTGGTGGAAAACGGGGAAAATTGAAGGGACTCTCCATACAGACTCCAAGGTCCTTTAAGATTTTTATTGGGGAATTGGGGGATGGGTACAGACAAGTTGCTGTCCTTTTGTTCTTCAGTCTGGTTGTGGAGGACGTTGCTTCACTGGCCCAAGTTGGCACCATCATTGTGCTCTTCCCGGGTGAGACAGACCAGTCGCCAGCCTCTGGATGGCCGCTCACGCTGGCTGCTAGCTACACACAGTAGCCAATGGCAACCCACTGCAGCACGGGCTGCAGCCTATGCCATCACCATCGCCTCACTTGGCAGCCCAGCTCCAGATTGAGCTGTTGTTCAGCATCTTAGCTGTAGAGGGCAGTGTCACTGGCCCTCATATGTGGGATCCGAACCGGGGCCTCTGGTGTCCCAAGCCAGTTCTTAACCATCGCGCCACTCGGCCGGCCCTCCAAGGTCCTAATTTTAAAAGCAGGTCCATTAAACACCTGAATCCTTTCTGGCTCCCTCCTCACTTTAAAACACAGATGGTACAAAGGCTTCATATAAAAGAATAATCTTTGGAAAACGTGTTTTTATATCTAATAACTAATTTAGCAGAAAGAGCTACAAAATGCAAATTTTTAAAAGGTTACCTTATTAATGGGACTATAGATTAAGTAGGAGCCATTCATATCTTTAAAAAAATTTTTTCGCATGTCATCTAATGCAATTTAAATTAGAGATCAGTCAAAACTATTTTAAAGGACCTTGAAAGAAAAAAAGGCCATTATTTGGAATATAAATAAATCATGCATATAAAAGTTCTATATATAAATTGACCTATTCTAAAATAACTAAAGTAACTTAGCTATTTAAATTACCACTGTTAGCAATAAAAGGCAAAAACAAAGGGTACCTACTGAACTATACACATTTAAAATGATTGAAAGTAAATGTGTATTTTATCACAACTGAAAAGAAGCCAAAAGGGTACATTTTGATAATGTATCATACGGGCTACAAAAGATGCAACTAAGTCATCACACTGCTGTTAGTAAGAAAATAAGTTAGTTCTCCATCTTTTGTACTCTGAAGTTCAAAGGCCCAGTATCAAATCCCTAAACCTCCAAACAATGGCCAAAAAAGATTCCGTCTAACACTTAAATCAAACCACTTCTGTGCCTCTGCCCCACAGGTTTAGACAGACTGAGGTGAGAGAATTGTTCAAGTAGTTACAAAAAGAAACACCAGAGCTCTGCAGGGGAATCACTTTTATTATTTTTTTTTTATTTTTTGTGTGTGCATCTATATAACGGAACAAGTTAACCATATAAACCAAAAGGTAATTAAATATTTCAAAAAAGGAAAATAACCTCCCCACCGCCAACTTTTTGGTCATCTTTCTCTCTCCCTTAGAATTATCACAATCCCCTTGGCATATCGTTACTATACATCAATAAGGAGACCACAATATCGTACAAAGCAGACACATAAGCCCGTTTTCTTATTAGACCTGCCCTGGAGGCTGGCAAAGTGGGCTGGACATAACCACCACAGCTGAGGCAGTGCCCGAGCTGTACTTCAACATCACGCTGACCAAGCCCTTTGGCATTTAGAAAAGCAGGGGTGTTCTCTCTCCAGCTGGCTGGTCCTTCCGGAAGAGCTCTCTGATCTGGGTTAATCGGCCGTAGAGCCTCTCTCTCAATGGAGGGATGTGGTAGCTAGGATCCAGAATGTTTGTGACTCTGCGCTCCCTCTCTCGTTTCCATAGCTTGTATGGGTGGGCAGGAAACGACGGCCGCGCCCTTTCTCTTCTAATTTGTAACGTAATTCCACTTACAGCCAGCATCCCCCATACTGCCAGGATAATAAAGTCTAAAAAACAGTAGAAAAGAACAGTTTGAACTGCTGTATCTTAAAACCTAACACATATCTAACATGTCACCTATCAAAGCCTAAATCTGTGTCATCCTTTCTTGCTAATATTAGACTTTCTGTGAGTGTGTCCAAACACTTGCAAACCAAGGAATGAGTGAGGATGCTACAGTCTTACATTTGAAAACAGGAGCTTTCTATTACAGGCACTTGAGAGTCCAGACAGGTTGTAAAGGAACCAGTGGTTTGGATCCTTGTCATTCCAGTATTTTATGACCAATGCCCACAGGCATAGTCAGGGGCAGGCAGAAGGCAGCAATCTAGTTATACGTCACAAACGTACATCATAGAACCTTAGATGCCACCATGCTCTCTTCCTCCCCATTCCCTGCCTCCTTCACATAGAATGGGTACAGAAATGAATGAAGAGTTCAACAAATTGCACTGGGCTTCTAGCAAGCAAAAAGCTTGGCAAAATACTGTCTTGTATGTTAAATTTCCAAGACATGGATTTCAAGGTCTCTACCATTAACCTTTTATCCAATGAAGGCTGGCTCAGTATAGTAAAGATTTACCCTTAAATATTCATAACAACATCATGATTGTGCTTATACATCTTCAATTCTAAGGCATGCTTTTCCATCCTATTTTAACATTTTTGAAACCAATATACCTTACAATCTTTATGAACATTTAATTTAGTCGTCTTTTTTCCTTTAAAAAGTTAATGGAGAGGCGACCAGTTAGCTCAGGTGGTTAGAGCACAGGCTTATAACACCAAGGTTACCGGTTCAATTCCTACATGGGCCACTGAGATGTGCCCTCCACAACTGGATTGAAGACAACTATTTGACTTGGAGCTGATGGATCCTGGAAAAACACACTGTTCCCCAATAAAATTTCTTTAAAAACAAAAAGTTAATGAGGCCGGCTGAGTGGCGCAGTTGGTTAAGAGCTCGCTCAAGAGTTTGAGCTCTGAGCAACAGCAGTTCGAGTCCCACCCCGAGCTGAGCAGCCGCTGAGCTACCAACAGGTGGCAGGATGGCTCAGCTAAAAAAAAAAAAAAAAATTAATGGAAAATCTTTAATAGGTAAAAATGTTACAACTGAGGATATAATGCACTTACTGACTAAAAATCACTTTCAATAAGCAAAAGGGGGGGAACAGGACAATAACTTAAAAAATCAGGATGTCATTCTTATCCCTCTCATCCCATCCCATAAGGTGGCAAGCTTTATGCTTAGCATTTTTCTCACAGCTGGGAATTGACCAGGTAAACCTAAGTAATCCTGGTTTAGAAATTTCTAAACAAAGTTCACTTAGTAGATTTTTAGAAGTATAAACTTCAACCACCTGACAAATTTCAATTCTTTCCTTCTGGCATTGTAAGTTATCATTAACAGAGGACTCTAATAATTTGTATGGTCTGAGTTTCCTCGTATCAGATTAACGTTTTTTCCAACCAGTTAACCTTCTTTCAACCTAGTTACCAAGTGCTCTTGTGAGCACAGGTGGGCCAATACTCCTAGTTGACTATCACTCTTAATCTTCGATTTAGTCTTACCATTGGTTTGAAAAGGCACATTTGTGAAAGCTCCGCGGAAGTGAGCGTTGAGTGCTCTCTTGAGTACATTCAAAGTGATGTAAGAAAGGCTTGTGTACAAGTAACTGTCAACAGCCAAGACCACCGTATAGGAGCCAATGATTCCACAAGTCACTATGTTCAGCTGTGGAAAAGTGGGAGAGTTTAGGCTTCACCTATGATAGAACAAGAATAGTGTCTAACTCTCATTACTGGCTTCAATCACAGGGAATCACTTCCATTCCCTCAAGGAACATGAAAAGGGACCAAGTATTAGCTGAATAAAGGGTACCTGAAAAGATAAACTGAAAATAATCTTCAATATCCAGTGAGTTCTTACAACACAGTTTACCTTAATAAAAAATATCATTCCTGTGTAAGAACTTCAACAGTATAGTCTAATTCAATGAAGAACCATTTTTCTGGAGAGATAGCTAATGATCCATCGGGTTGCTGCATTATAGAGAGCCCTACCTTCTCTGCTCCCACAAGTAAAAGCATATTAACAGTGATAACCTGCTCCACTTAAGAAAATACTGTGTGGGCCAGCCAAGTGGCGCGTTGGTTAAGAGCTGGCTTGGAGCACCAGAGGGCCCCGGTTCGGATCTCCCATATGAGGGCCAGTGACACTGCCCTCTACTGCTAAGATGCTGAACAACAGCTCAGCCTGGAGCTGGGCTGCCGTGAGTCACTGGCGATGGCGTAGGCTGCAGCCCCTGCTGCAGTGGGTTGCCATGGGCTACCGTGTGTAGCCAGCAGCCAGCGTGAGCGGCCGTCCAGAAGCTGGCGACTGATCTACCTCGCCCGGAAAGAGCGCAATGATGGTGCCAACTTGGGCCAGTGAAGGAACGTCCTCCACAACTAGACTGAAGAACAAAAGGACAGCAACTTGTCTGTCCCCCTTCCCCCAATTCCCCAGCGCTGTTCCCATCCCCCAATTAAAAGAAAAAGAAAGAAAATACCGTGTGATAATCATAACTTCTCTTGCGTTCACAGTAACATGGCAATATAAAATCAACCATCACATAGAGATTATCATAAAGCTCTCCCTAGTGAATAAACCATGCAAAATGATGCTATTAAGTGAACTGAAGGACAATATAATGAATAAATCTTTCTTCTGATGAAATACTTACCATTCTTAGGCAGCCCATGAAAACTACTGGGATGAGAACAGCTATACAAGAGAAGGTCACCCAGAACACACCATCATTACGAAATACTGTTAGGTTTCCTGAAAAAGCAAACAGCAATCAAGAGTAAACAACAGATTCAACAAGGTAAACTTCATTTTCTCAACATCTGAACACGGACATCCATCAAAGGTTTAAGGTAACAACCGGGAATATGTTGGCCATTAGAAATGAATTCTGACTTTATTCATTTAAGTGTCAATGTGGTCGCCTCTGAAGGATGTGTTATAGAAGGTAGAAGGGTGGGAGAAAAATCAAGAAGGTAAAGGCTCTGCACTTATTACCAGGATAATTTAGAAAAGGCCAGACCAGTCCAAGCTCTTCCATTCGCTAGTTGTGATGCTGGGCCTCAGTTCCCTAACCCATAAAACAAGAGGATTGAACCACTTCATCTCCAAGCTACAAATCACCCATTCTAGCTCTAAATTTCTATGATTCCATGATTTTGTACTGCAAAGTCAAAGGTACAAATAAATGGCATTCGGAGTTAACCATATGAACTCCCACCCAATATAAGCAGCAAAATCCATTGAAAAGATTTTTGCCATTGGTGCATTTCCTGCCCAGGCACTGCATACTGCAAGATTTGATTTCCTAATCTATCAGAAAAGATAGGAGCTAACCACTAATTGGCTCCTACAAAACTTACTCCAAAATGCAGCACTCCTTGGGTTAACCCAGGACAAATATATTAGAACTACCATTTATAAATTAAATTGAAATGGCAAGAATATAAGCCCGACAATTATTTAATACTGACACTGGCACCATAATTCAGTCCAACTGGAGGTGGCCCAATACCTTGACACCCACACCTGGCAGAGTGGGAGTTCTGCAGGGAGAGGATCTGACCTTGGACCCCGTATTCTCAGAAAGTGAACTGTAACATGCTGCAATGAGGTGAATTTATGGATCATCACATTCTTTAGTTTAATTATCCTAACCTTCACAAAATATACAAGGAGTGATCAAAACACACAGTGAATGTTTAAATAAAAGTTTATTACAATAAAAGACACATTGCCATTAACCCCCCTCAAAATTACCACCCCTTGCTTTGAACACACTGATCCCATCGTTCTTGCCACTTTCTGAAGCAGTTCTGGAAGTCCTCTTTCCTGAATGTCTTTAGTTGTGCTGTCGTGGCTGCCTCAATGTCCTGAATCATTTTGACTTTGGGAAAGAGCCAGAAGTCACATGGTGCCAGATCTGGTGAATACAGTGGGTGAGGACACACCACAATGTTTTTATTTGACAGAAATTGCCGTATACCAGAAGCAATGTGTGACACGGAGTGCTAGCATGATGGAGGATGATTTACAGCACACTTTAAAACATACATTCTCTCACCTGTAGCTCACACCCAACTGACTGGACCGACAGACAAGTGGAAACTTGTCACACACTGTTACTAAGGTTCTACGAGCTGCTTCCCGTATTGAAGATCCCTGCCTTTCCGTTGGATGGCACTCGGCAGCAGCATTCACTGTATTTTGTGATCACAACAGAAAGGCTTTGTGTCACACATCATTTCTGGTACGGCAAATTTCTGTCAAATAAAAACATTATGGGGTGTCCTCATCCAATGTATTCACCGAATCTGGCAACGTCCGACTTCTGGCTCTTCCCCAAAGTCAAAATGACCATGAAAGGTAAACGTTTTGAATCAATTTAGGACATCGAGGCAGCCACAACTGCACAACTAAAGACACTCAGGAAAGAGGACTTCCAGAACTGCTTCAGAAAGTGGCAAGACTGATGGGAAAAGTGTGTTTAAAGTGAGGGGGAGTATTTTGAGGGGGATTAATGGCAATGTGTCTTACTATAATAAGTTCTTTTTTTTTTTTTAAACATTCACCATAGTTTTTTATCACATCTCATAGGTTTGGGGGTTTTCTCCTGACTTCAAAATTTGTGCTATTTCTACTCATCAAAAGCACATTAACTACTGCAAATTCTAACCTATTATTTCTCCATTCTCCAAACATTAACAAAAGATGGGGGCGCATTTAGTATTTGATCTAGTACATTTTAGAGTAGGGCCCTGTATCTGTATTTTCAAAACACACCCCAGTGTATTTGTCATTTAGCCAAGTCTAAACACTAACTTGCAGGTAGATAAAAAGCTACCTGCAGGGGGGGCTGTGGGAATAAACTTGGCTATAGGTTAGCTAAAATCAGAACAATGGGTCTGAAAGGTCAAAAAACACACAGGTTGTCAATTCATTCTGGTCTTTAAAAAAAAATCTTTAAAAAGAAAGCCACTGCATTCCATTATACACTGCGTTCTCAAGAGTTGATAGCCCTCAAGGGACAGTTATATCTGACATTTCCATCAACTTTAATCTGATATTGTAATATAAGAACCAAACGTTATCACAAGAAGAAAATAGCTTTAATAGAGTACTTTGGAATGTTGATATTCCTTTTGAATTTTTTACAACAATCAAGAATTGAGTTACTGTACAACAGCAAAGAAAGTTAACTTAAAAGTTAACCAGATTTTAAATGACAGAAATTGAATTACTTGGGAAAAAACAAAACCAGAAGCATCCCTGTGCTACAGCCCTAGGATGACTACAAGTAGGTACCCTGGAACACTTGAGGATTGGCACAGGGTGGGAGTGGAGGTTAGGGGTACAAGAGAAGACTGGGAACAAAGGACCAGGTTCCCCAACTCGGCTGCCATCAGAGCAGCGTAAATGTATCTGTGGGATAGTGGACCTCTGTTTAAGATGCATCTGAAGCAAGAGCTCCAGGGTTTGAAAAAATAAAACAACAAAAACCACTGTTCTGCCATATATTAAGAATCCCGTTTCCCTCCATTAATTCTCACACACACTCACACACACCCTTATCACAACAAATAGCTACAAAGCTACCTATACAGACATTCTTGAAGTCATCTGGTATAGGGTGCCTCTGAGGAAAGAGGGATTCTTATTTGTGTTGGCCCTTCCTAAAAGAGCCACATCATGCAAAATGCAAATTTCCAAAACTATACAGAAGGCCCCAAATCCCTGACGAGGCAGTACTTGCACCTAGAGAGCCCACGTAATACCTTTCAAACAATGAACTGAACACACAAACATTAGTTACACGTCTCTTACCCAGAGGGGTGAAAAAAGTCACTGACGAGACAAGGAAGCCCAGCACTAGTCCAACACACAGCATACAGAGCATGAGGATTCCAAATCGCCACCACGCAGCTACCAGGAAAATCCCACCAACGCTTCCCATGATGGCTGTCAGAATCAGGCGAACTGCACAAAGGGAGATGAACTGTTTGACCAAAGGTAGCTTTCCCGACTGCGTGCTTTACACACAAGATAGCACTACCAGAGCCATCATTAGCCTTTCTGGTGGTCAAGCACCAACAGGAGGCTGGTGGACTCTGCGGTGGTGCCGAGAAACCAGCACGGGCTGCCTCTAGAGAGGCGACAGTCTCACAGACACATGGAAACTAGCCAGGGGGCTGAACCTCCCAGTACAGCCACAAGCGTGGCTTGGGACAACCTATAAATTGGGGCTGAGGAAAAAGCAGGGTGACAAGCATTCTGTTAAACATGACAAGGAAGGAGGGGCTGTGTTTGTTTTAAGGTAAAGAAAATCTTCACATTTTTTGTAAATCTCGTGTTTCAATATACCAGTTTTGTGGAACACAGGTTTATCATCAATATGGCCCTTCATTTCCCTAAGTACCAAGGAATTTACAACGCAGATCAAAAACTTGGAAGAGAAGGTCTCAATGAGTAGTTCAGAAAAGAAAAGATGTTTAGAGCGTAGGTGGCCCATTATTTTACACACATAATAGGAATATCACACACAATGCTGGTCAAACTGTAGAAGAAAAGGTAGATTAGAAACAGCACCTTCCTTTTTGAACACCCAATTAAACTGTATTATTTTTACTCACCATCATAGTTAATAACTGTCAGTCTTGTAATCAGTATGTAAAAGAAGAATCCCATGAAGATAAAGCCTATGAAGAATAATTCTAGTAGCAAACCACCAGGAAAGAAAAATAATATAAGCTATGGTTAGGCATTCATTTTACAATGCAATTTAAATATCTAATCTACAAATACATGCTTATACATTAGGGAATTCAGAGAAGAGAAATAATTATCTAAAAGAAGAAAATTAGAACTCATTGGAGCATACATAAATTTAGAAGTCATTGGGAGTAAATATTACTATTAAATGGATACACTACTAAAGTATTAATTATAGAATACACTTTCTTATTATATACAGGTCAATTTCAATTGGTAAGTTGTTAATTTCATAGCTCATTTTAATATAATTTGTTACATGAGCAAAAATAAAATTTGAAAGGTAAAAAAATAACAAAATATTCCAAAGCAAAAATATGACTTTTATATCTTCTTTCAATTCATCCTTTCTTATTTAGAATGAACAATCAACCATTGTCATCATCCATTAAAATACCTAGTAATATCTTTGGGACCTTGCATACAGCTTAGCAATTAAATTCTTTGTTACAAAATCATGCTGCACTTTGAGGAATTAAATATTCTTCACAAGTCTCTTCTCAAAAAAAAAAAAGTATAGTAATGGAGGGAAAGGAGTTGCTACTTCAAACAATAAATTAAGTTTAAAGAGTTTTATAAAATCAGGATTATGTTCACTCTCCCCTTGATGCTGTTATACTCCTTGTTAATGAATTACATAAGGATTTTTTTTAATTTTTTTTTTAGTAATTGTAAGCATTAGTTACTTAAAAGGCAATCCAAAGAAGTGGCATCGTTTTAGTGAGCATAATTTCTATTCTATTCCCTGCACTGGTTTTACTGAGGACGGTGGAATTCCATGTGGTGTCTGAGCCTCCCGTAACACATACTTCAGTCTCACTGTATATAGCCTGATTTATATGAAACTGTGTTGATCATCACCACCAAAATCCACACATATTTTTACACTGACATCTTGATTTCTAATCTGTTATCATTAGCCAGCTAGCCAATCTAGCAATTGAAGCAGTTGCTGAACAAATCAAATGTTATTCCCCTCTTAATAAGAGCTTGTACTTCATTAATGAGAAAAGAGGAATAAAAAAACAAAAAAACGCAGAGCAACTCAGTACAATCTTTACTGAAAGAACCCAGCCACAAATCTATGAAGGTAGTGCAGATAAGCAGTTGCTTTCTCTCCTTACAGGTCATAAATTCCCCTGCAGCATTTAAGAAAAAAGATCACCAGGCATGTAAATAGCAACTAGATCAAATGTTATACCTGTTTTCCAGAATCTGTGTCCGAAGAAACAAATGAAGAGGCCAAACAGGGCAAAAAGAGTGAAAAACACTTTGGTAGATACTCTTCCTAAAAATAACAAAAATTTAGTGCATAATACATCCAATCTGATACTTTGTATTTAATTAATAAAGCTTCATGAAAAAAACAAAGCCAACTGACACTAATTTATTCCACACGTGTATAATTTATTTTTAAAATATCCCTGTCACCTCCAGTTAATTCTTCTATGTAGGCCTGGATGCTGGTATAACAAAAAGAGAAATAAAAAAAATACGTGATCCCTGATAGAGATATATAACATCTTCTTGGGGAAGGGGGTGGGGAGGAAGTGGGAAAGGAGGAAGAGAGAGTGTTTTCTGTTTCTTCATAAACAAACTCTAAGAAAAAAAGGTGGGGACAGGAGGAAATGGATTAAAAGAGATTTAAAAGACACATCAACTAATACAACGTTCAGATTGCATCTTAACCCTGATTCAAAAGAACAAAGAAAACTGTGAAAAGCAACTGGGGCGACTGTAAACACTGCCTGTTAATTTGATGCCATTAAGGAATTATCTTCAGTATTTTAAACTAAAACTTGGGTTAATGATACTGTGGTTACATTTTTAAAAACAGCCCTCATCTTTAAGATATACATACTGAACTTTTGTGACAAAATGATAAGGGATTTGTTCTGAAGAAATCCAGTGATGGGGGGTAGGGGGAGGGGACGGGGGCAGAGACACAGGTGGGTGTATGGCTACAACAAGATAATATCCGTGCATCCAAATTGTTAAGACTGGATAATGGTATATGGAGGTTGACTCAAGTTTTCCATTAACAAAAAATTTTAACCAAACTCATATAAAAAAAAAACACGTACTGCACTGTAAGTACACATGAACAAATTACTACTAATCTTATCAAGTATACATATTGCTTTGGGAAAAAAATGTAGCGTTGTAACTAACAATAAAGCACAGTACGCTTCATGATGCCAAAAAATCCAAATCCTATGATCCTCAACAGACACAAGCTTCAATACAAAACCATGATGTGAAAGACAGGGCTACTGAAGAGTAAAATATGCACACTAAACTCACCACCATCTTGACTCCTTTGAGAGAAACACAAGAAAGTAATCCTACACTAAAACCAAACACAAAATATCTATATAAACTCATGTGAAAAACATTACAAACCCACCACCGATCAAAACAAAATACTTAAGAATGCTCAGATGGAGATACCACGAAGACTTACATTTAATTAAGAAACACAAGATAGGCCAGTATTTTCAGAGCAATATACACCTACATATCAGCTTTTCGAGAATGAAGAGCCCCCAAAGAAGAGGAAATGAAAGCTATGCCACATTCTGCTTATTTCAGACACTGGTTGAAAACTGAGAAAGGGAAGGAATTTACCCTGCCTTTTTTTAAAAAGAAGGAATGGCAATTCATCCCCAATGAAAGGAAGCACTTCTGTATAGAATGATGTTGTATACAGCTATGAAGAGAATACAAAGCAAACAGCATAATCTTAACTAGCATTTGAAGAATCTGAGTGAAGATTATGCAGGAATTCTGTGTACTATTTTTGCATCTTTTCTGTGAAATCTATTTCAAAATAAAATGTTACCCACACACCTCTTGCTACACCTCCACTGCCACCATTCTATCTAAACCACCGTCATCTCTCACCTGGATTACAATGGCCTGCTAATCAATCTGTTTCTGCTCCTGCCCCTGATTTTTCTCAAAGAAGCAGCCAGAGTGATCCTATTAAAATATGAGTGCAGTCATGGCACTGTTGGCTCAAACCCTCCACTGCCTTTCCATTTCACTCCCAATCAAAGCGAAAGCGCATACTATGACCTACAAGGCCGCACACGAGCTGCCTGCCCCTGCCGCCTCTTGACCCCTCAGGCTCCCCCAGTCCCTGTTCTCACTGCCATTCTTCACACACACCAGCAAGCTCCCAGCTGAGGGCCTCCACACTGGCTGTTCCCTCTGCTGGCAGGGACCTCCAGACACAAGGCACCTGCCTCACCTTGGGTCTTTCCTAGCAAGGACTTCCCTGGTCACGCTATCTCAAAGTCTCCTGACTCCCACTTGTTATCTCCCTTTCCTACTTCATTTTTGCTTCTTAACGCTCCTCACTTTCTCATGTATTATATGTTACAAACTTATCTGTCTCATCTCCCTCACTAAAATGTAAGCTCCAGGACAGCAGGAATTTTGTCTGTTTTGTTCACTGCTGTAGTCCAGTGGTCAGAACAGAGACTGGAATGATGTTGGGGCTTAAAAGGCACTTGTTGAATGAATGAATGAAGACTTGACAAAAGAATTTTTTTAACAGTCTTAATTCTGTGTTAGTTGATGTGGCTCTGCAAAGCCAAAGAAAAATTTGCAAGTTTAAATCCATATACTCACCAAGTGAAGAACAATTACCCTCCTTTGCCTCAAAACTGCAAGCATATGTGTGAACAGGAACATAAGCAGCAGATGTATTTAGAAATGGGTCCCAAACAATGACATTATAAATGACACCTTGCCCCCGGAGGGAGGAGAAGGAAACACTTGTCTTATCATTAGCTGTTAGGGTAGCCACCTAAAACAAAAAATAATGCATGATTAGTGTTTAGATTTTTTTTTAAAAGGCTATTCTATTATAATGCCACCTACATGGGATATAAATTATAATATTAAAATAGAATTGTTTAAAATATACACCAAACTTTTTAGCTTTGTCTAAAGATTGTCTTATACAATTTGTATATACTAATATAAATAGCTCTTACACAAGGCTTCTAAAATTTTTGTAGAGTGTAAATGTTAAGTAAAATAAGATATAAATAACATATAAAGGCTAATTAGAACAAAGCAAAAATAACGGATTTTTCATCTACTAGATTGTAAACTGTAACAGTAAAGGCAGGAAGCGTATTTCTCTTGCTCACTAATCTTCCCTCAGTGCTTAGCACAACACCCAGCACAGTGTACGTATTCAACAAACGTTAGCTATTACTACTAGTTACAGAGCTGACGCAGGCAAAGTCTCTTAACACCTCATAGAAAGTGCCACTTTTGTTTTAACAGACTCTGAAATAAAAAAACCATTACGTATAGTTGTTATACAGTAGTTCTTAACTTCAAAACTACCTTTTAAAGATTGTTTTTAAAATACGTAATACATACAACAGAAGAAACAAAAAAAACCTTATATAATCATAATACATAGTAAGTTCCTATTAATGTGAGAAAAATATTAGAACTTCAGGAATAAATAATTGTGGGACTATTTAAAAAATATTGCTTAGCCTTTGTATTTCCTGGGCGAAGGATTTGGTCAAGGTCAACAAAATGTTAACAGTATCTTCCACTCTCCCAAGTTTTTATTATGAAACATTCAACCTTCCAGAAATGTTGAAAAAAAAATATAATGAATAATCTATATACCACCAGTAAGACTCAACAGCTTTAATATTTTACCTTATTTGCTTTTCTATCACCCCTGCCCCTCTCTCCCCTCTATTTTTTCCTGCTGAAACATTTTAAAGTAAGTTACAGATATCATGACATTTCACTTCCAAACAGCTCAGGGTACATGTCCACAAACAGTGTTTCTCGAACAATCACTGGGAGAGCTTGTTAAAATTCAGATCCTGATTCTGTAGGTCAGAGGAGGCACCTGCGGCTCAGCTTCTCTAACACTCTCTCCAGTGATGCTATGTGTTCATCTACCACACTTTGAGTAGCAGGGTACAAAAGTGTAAGGGTATTCTCCTATATACCCACAATATCTTAGCTCACCTAAAAAAATTAATAATTTCTTATCTGATACACAGTCCACATTCAAATTTTTCCCAATGTCTTTTATAGCTTTTCTCCCTTTTAACAAAGATCCAACTAGTTTCATGCATGGTATTTATCTCCAATCTCTGTAATCTGGAGCAGCCCCTCCCACCTCCCGACTCCCACTCACCCAGGAGATCAAGGGCAGTCGCTTTACAGAATATTCCACAATCTGGATTTTTCAGATGGTATTCAAGGTGTCTGACTTGTACTTTTATCCCCTGTGGTTCCTGTAAACAGGAACTCCAAGGACTGAATTCAGGTAAAGCACGTTTTGCTAGAATATTCCATAGGTCATGGTGATAATGTGAGACTGCATTCACCACACAATGCAGGTGGGCCCCCTATCAGTAAAGCTAACATTGACCACATGGATAAAGAGGAGACCATGGATCACTCTGCTCTCAAAGTAGTTTTCCCTTTACAATCAGAATTCCTCTGAGAGTGCTATTTAGGCATCCTGGGAATAACCTGTGCCCCAATAATCTTTCACCTAATGGTCCTTGCCTGAATCATTTCACTGAGGGACACAAAATTGTGATTTTCTAATTCCAATTATTCCCACATTTATTAGTTGGCATTGTTCTGTGAAGAGCTTTCTTCCAACAACTGGGGAAGAATTACAGTTTCTCCTTTTAAAAAGGCAAGGGAAAGTCCTTCACCTTATAACTTTTCAGAGTAACTTGGTAGAGTCTCTTTCAATATTGCAACTAGGAAGTTCTATTTTCTGGGTTTTTTTAGTATCAATATGGACTTGTTTTCATTTAGTCAAGACTTACAATCAAGGTGAAAGGATTAAGAAGCACAGATTGGTAGTTACAAAACAGTCACAGGGATATAAAGCACAGCATAGGGAATACAGTCAATAATATTGTAATAACTATGCATGGTGCCAGGTACAAGATAACTACCAGACTTATCAGGGAGATCCCTTCGTTAAGTTATATAAATGTCTAACCACTGTGCTGTACACTTGAAACTAATATAATATTGAATGTCAATTGTAACTGAAAAATAAAAAAAATTTTTTAAAAAGACTTATAATCAATCATTTTATTTTGGATGATTGAACTGACCCTAAGTTGGGTAGTGCACAGACTCTTCAAACAGGTTCCAGTCTTTTTTGACAACCAGTCATTGAGGGTTTCCTTGAATTCTGGCACACAATATATCACTCTTAATCTTAACTGAAAGTTAAAAAGTAACCTAAAAAAGGCCTGGTTTCATAGTTCTCACATATTTTTTCTGTGAAAAATGCCACCAGTAGTTTGATAGACATTGCACTCAATCTATAGTTGCTTTGGGTAGTATGGACATTTTAACAATGCCAGTTCTTCCTATCCATGAGCACAGTGCATAGGCTTCCATTTGTTTCTATCTTCTTCAATGTCTTCCAGTTTTCCAAGTACAGGTCTTTTATCTCCTTGGTTTAATTTATTTTTAGGTTTGATTTATTTGATCATTGTAAATGGCAGAGAGTTCTTATATTCTTCATGTCATAAAAATGGTCTTCAAAAACCTCCTATTTTAAGAAGAAGAAGCTTCCATAGAGCTTCCTAATCTGTGAAGAAGCACAATGAGTTTCTTGTATGAGGCTCCCTCTTCGCATGGAGCAATGACATCCTAGGCAACACAGGAACAAAAGGAGATCTCGCTCTGCAAGAGTTTGAGCCCTTAGGCTAATCACATATGCCGTTTCAATCATTTCTTTCCAAATAGTCTGGTAATCTATCAATCTTCTGGAAAGAATCAGAGCAGTCTAGAAAAACTCTACCCATTAACCATGAGACTGAAGAATGACCTTGCTGTATATTATTAGATTGCTATCAGGCACCTCTCAAGACAAAGATAATATCCCGCCCTGCACAAAAATGAGCTATAGCGTGAGTCTCCAATTTTAACGTGCATTCATAAAATGCAAAAATTGGGTAGGTCTGGGGTGGAGCCTAAGAGTCTACAACTCAAATGAACTCCCAGATGATGAGGCCAATGCTGCAGGCCCGTACCCCACAAATGGAGAAGCAAGAATTTACAGGGGTTCCAAAGCTCAGAGAAAAGTTTTGATCCAAGTTAAAGACTTTGAGTTTGGGTTTAAATATTAAATGCCAATGTGTAGATCCTTAAATAGTTTCTAATTTTTTTCTCAAAACACTATAACTCATAATTGCCAAAAGGGGGGCCGGCCGAGTGGCTCAGTTGGTTAAGAGCTCGCTCAAGAGTTTGAGCTCTGAGCAACAGCGGTTCGAGTCCAGCCCGAGCTGAGCAGCCGCTGAGCTGCCAACAGGTAGCAGGATGGCTCAGCTAACAAAAAAATAATAATAATAATTGCCAAAAGGTATAACCTAAAAGGTATGGAAGTACATAAAAAAATTAGCACCCACTTCCATCCATATCACAAGATTACCAGTTCATATATGTGGCTGCAACTATAACAAAATAATTTACATGCATCTCTTCAAAGGCTAGCATTACTTTGGGGTTATCACTAGAAAAGACTCCCAAGATGTTAACGAAATAAGAGAATAAAGTGAGAATCCCAGAAAGACCAGGCAAACAGTAAAGAAATAAGCTCCTGGTCACTTCTCCCCTAGTCAGCTCTTCCAACGGTGTCGCAATCCAGCAACACCAATCAGGAGAATCAGCTTTACCTTGATGGCACTGGCCGTCACCTGAGGCACTTCGGCCATCCTCTGCAGATGCTTCAGCAACCCCTCTTCCGTGAGGTCATTCTCAGGCAGAAAATACTGATAGACATCATACTGCAACCTCCACCTAGAGTCCTGTCCCGTCCTGATGTCACATGGCGGAGGATCTGTGCCTCTAAAGTCAACCAACAAAACTGAACATCAATCTCTTGTTGGGCAAGTCCCATCTACGAAAAGGAACCAAAACCTCTAATTTCAAACTTCCGAAACGATTCCAATTTGGGCATGATGAAGAAAAATAACATGCTGACAGGCAGTATGGTTAAATAAACAGATTTAATGTCAGGCCTAGAGTCAAATGCCAGCTTTGCCATTTGTTAGCTGTGTGTTAAGTCGCCAAGTCACTTAATCTCAATAAACCTTAGGGAACCTTTCTGTAAAATAACAACTGCCCCTTTTAAATAAAAAGCTTAGAATTAAAAGACAAGAACACAGAGCACTCAGCACTGTGGATGATGCACAAATAACATTCAAACGTTAATCAAATGTTACCTATCGTTAATTCCTATTAAAGCAGAAACTAAGGCAGAGTTTTAATTAAAATAATAAAATCCTTACAAAAAACTAAGGGTGAGGGCCGGCCGAGTGGCGCGTTGGTTAAAAACTGGCTTGGGATGCCAGGCCCCGGTTCGGATCCCACATATGAGGGCCAGTGACACTGCCCCCTACAGCTAAGATGCTGAACAACAGCTCGACCTAGAGCTGGGCTGCCATGAGTTGCCGGCGACGGTGTGGACTGCAGTCCCCTGCTGCAGTGGGCTGCCATAAGCTACCGTGTGTAGCCGGCAGCCAGCGTGAGTGGCCAGCAGCCGCCATGAGCGGTCTTCCAAAAGCTGGCGACTGATCTGCCTCGCCCGGAAAAAGCGCAATGATGGTGCCAACTTGGGCCAGTGAAGCAACGTCCTCCACAACTAGACTGAAGAACAAAANGACAGCAACTTGTCTGTTCCCCTTCCCCCGATTCCCCAATAAAATCTTTAAAAAAACAAGAAAAAAAAAATTAAGGGTGTTTCACGGCTCCAGAATGCTTTCCGTATTTAAAGCTCCACAGAAACTAAGATGTACTTCTAAGCTCATAATAGACTCAACATCTGGCTCTTCCTAAGAATGGAGGGGACAATATTAACTGTAAATAACCACTCAAGTATTAGTTACAATGTATGAATTACTTTCATTCAAAAACATTAAACAATGCACTTTTACTAAGAGAATGATGGATTTTCAGAGAGTTCACCGAACCTCACAATAGCTAGGCATGCATGTGCTAAAAGTAATTATAAGAGACAGACATACCTCGCATAGCCCAGGTTTGCTGGGGCAAATTTGATATTTGTTGCAAAGAAATCAAACTCCAAGTAAATGTTGGGATCAATATCTAAATCAAACTCCAAATTACAGCCTCCAGGGATAGGATCTAGATGGAAAATAAGAAAGTTACTCAACAAAGAATTGTTATGTATTCAAATTATACTCAGAAAACACAACTCTACTCTTACAAGAACTTCCTGTACAGAAGTTAAATAAATACAGAGCTTCTAGTTTTATGCTACCTCATGAACTGAGGTTAAGGTCTCTGGAACAGGGATCAGCAAATCTTTTCTGTAAAGGGCCAGAGTGGCTATTTTAGGCTTCGCGGGCCTGATGGTCTCTCTGGCAACTACTCAATCCTGCCCTCGTGGCATGGCACAAGAGCGGCCATAGATCACACATGCACAAATGCGCATGGTTGCCCATTCTAATAAGACTTTATGTACAAAACAGACAGCGAGCTGGATTTGGTTCTGAGTCTGCAGTTTACCAAACTCTGTTCTAGAGTTGAAAAGGTCAGAAAAGACAGATTCTTAAGGTGGGATCCAAGAATGGGTTTCAGGGGCTCCATGAACACCCTGAAATTTTATGTTGAATGTGTGCATTTCCTAGGGAGAGGGGTTTTTATTAGATTTCGGGGGACAGGGTCTATGACCCCACAAAAGAGCATAAGAACCCTGGAAAGAAAAAAAAAAACACTGCCAAAGAGAAAAGGAACTCCATGGGTAATAGAGTTAGGGGTCTCCACTTTTCACATGCTTCTTTCAACAGGGAGAAAGATTTTGTCATCCTCAATTCTCGAAGAGTCCTTGTATATATATATATACACATATACATATATATACATATATATATATACATATACTTATGTGTGTATACATATGTATATATATATATATACATATACACATGTATGTATACATATGTATATATATATATACATATGCATATGTATATATATATATAAAAGTGAAAGACCACAAAAGACCTCCCCAAGACCATCTATCAGAATAGCATTTGAATATTTAATTAAACACTAATAATGTGGCTAAAACAGCTCTTCTTTTCTTATTAGGAATCCGACTCATGACTTTTAAGCATGACAAACTTAAATCAGTCACTTGACATGAGATCAACTCCATAAAAAGAACTAACTATATATGGGGGACCCAGTGGAGAGGCTAAGACAGAAAGGGTAAACCAATTTGAAGAGTTGTAAGATCTCAACTTCATACAACTCATCCACGCATTCCCACAGTTAGGTCTTAGTTTCCTTAAACTAAGGCATTCTGGTGGTTGACTTCCTCTGGTCAGATCTGGAATGGAAAAACCCGGTGTGCAAATATGTTATGAATATTTACCACATTGGAGAAAATGATATGAATTGTCACTGAAGCTCTTTCATAACTTGTCTTTGTATGCTGTTCTTGATGGAAACTTGAAGTCCATGGTTTCTGATCAGGTAATTTACCCTTCTGCTACAGACAGCACTGTCTTTCCTTAACTCCAGTCACCTTTTGGAGTCTACCTCCTTTACCAACTACTGTTCCTTCTCTTCCCATTCCCACAAACGTGAAGTGTAGTCTAAATTTTCTCACTTCCCCTTCACTCCTCAATCACTATCATCTAGTTTTCATCCCCATGGCACCACTACAATAACTCTTACAGGCCACCACCGACTCTTAATTGAGCGATCATATGGACACTTGCGGTCCCTTCTCTTGACGTCTCTGCAATGTATTATTGACCACTCCTTACTTCAGGCAGAACCTCCAGGCCCTTCTCTTCTCTCCCCAACTACTCTTCAGTCTTAGGCTTATTCCTCAGCAGTTAGCATGTCAGAAACAGTGCCTGGCATGCGAGAGGCACTATGAAAGTATTTGCTGTTATTTTTCCCCTAAATCTCTATGTGCACGCCTGGACATGCACTCACTGCCATGACTTTTACTAATGGCTATTCGTGAAATATCTAACATCACTCCTCCATTTGAGGCCCTACTGTATGCATTTCCATCCAGATGTCCTACAAGTGTCTCAGGTTCAGTGTGTCCCAAACTGAAGTCACCGTCTACCCCATTCCAACCCCCTAAAACTTCTAGCACCACAACCACCCTATTTCCACACTTATTTTGCATCACTATATCCCAGGTGCTCAAACAGGAAGCCTACACTCCCACCTTTTATAATCCACAACCACTGGTTATTGTGTCTTATCAATCCTATGTTCCAAATATCTCAAATCCAGCCCCTTTTCTCCAACTCCTCTCTCATGGCCTCAGTTCATTTCTCCTTTTGAGCCCTCAAAAATATGCTAAGTCCTGACTGACTCTGCTATACCCTCTCCAACCCACTCCCCACACTGCTTCCAGAACTAACTTTCTAAGAGATGAAATGCATCACCTCATTCCTCTGCTTAAAAACTCTCTATGCTTCCCAGAACCAACCTAAGAATAAAATGCAAACCCCAAATTCTATACAAGGCCCTCACACTTTGGCTCTAACCTCACCCACTATGTCACTCTCCAAATCCTCCATTCTTCTTCTGCACCTTCCTCTGCCTAGAATAACCAACTAAAGTGTTAGGGACTGTGTCTTGCTTTTCTGTTACTGCTTCTCTAAGAGTTCCTTACATGTTTTTGAATGAATAAATGTATTCTCCTACTCCCCACCTGGGCTTTCAATCATCACGCTAATTCTCCAGTTCCCTTGCTGTTAAAACCTTTCTGATTAATATATTGTACTTATAATAAACACTTTTAATAGGATTATAGTTTTCCTTAAATTTTCATGAACAAGTTCCACATTCTGGAGAGTAACAGGGAGTCGAAGACAAAAAGATTACCTCTTTCTGAGTAGGAGAGTGGAATGGCCACATTTTGGACAGGCTCAGCATCTAAAGTCTCCAAGTACCAAAAGCACATACTCTGCTCAGGTCTGAGCATAAAAACCAGTCCTTTGTCAGTGCCTGTTCCTGAGGTATTAGGAAGCACAATCTCCTGTAAGGAAGAAAAGAGTCATCATCAAGAGGGAGCTGAGCAAAATATTTTTATTCCAGAGTTGATCTAGTATGCATGTCCTATTCGAACTCTTCTCGAAACAAAAAGGAATAAAAACAGGCCTTCCTTAAATAATTCTTTTCACTTCTATGTGCATGTGCCCATGCGACACATGGAGGAACTACTTGAAATATATGATCTTTGATAGAAACAGCAGATGCGCAGCAAAACTCCCAAGCTATTCAATCCCCTAAATTAAGATTTACTATGTCAAGTACTAAGACTACTGTCAAATGACGAAACTATAGCAATTTAGCAGTGAGTTTGATGTCATTCATTCAAGGGAAACAATCCATAAGTTGGGGAAGTGCAGTACCTCAAAAGCAGTGGAGCCCTGTTGGGAGCCGGCTGCACCTCAGTGTCTGACATGGCCTAGCACACTGCTATTGTGACAAATCCTGAAGCTCTGACTGAGAAACAGATACTGCTTTATGTTTTGGAAATTTTAAATTCCCCTTTGGATGCCCCCAGTAGGATAAAGATCTGAAGCCCCTTCTTATATTGTTTTTGTTTTATTTACTTTAAGTGAGTTTTGGACATATTAAGATAATTGTTTTACTGTTAGTTTCTTAATGATAGATTCTTAGTGATAGACAAGTTATGCACCTTATAATTCTTAAGATCCTGTTTAGCCAGTAGTGTTTGAAACAGTTGCTAAGTAGTAAACATCCTTTAAGTGCCAAGGCAGGAACTCAGCTCTGGCCATTATAGGAAGAAATTGAAACATAGTTAGGATAAGTTAGTCATTAGTATAGAACAGATCGGGCTGTACCCTGTAATAGAAACATCGTGAGGAAGTAAAATTCGGAGTAAAACAAACTTCTAAGGAAAATAGACCCTGGGAAGGAAGGAACATTGAAACTATGTAGAAAACAATTTCCCAATGGGTAAAGGGTTAAACTTGGAAAAACAACTTTGGGAAAAACAGCTCAATGATGTAAATAGTTACCTGCCCAGAACAAAAAGGACAGGCTGTAAAAATAGACATTAATTCTTGAAAGCGCTCCTGGGTTTCCGCAGGTTCTTTCCTCGCTGACGCCGTCTCCACCTGAGGGAACCCCTGGATTTGTGGGAGCCGGTCTCCCGCAGAGCCCTCTTCCCAAAGGATTTAGGCAAGAGTAAGTTTTACAGAGCATTAGAAGCAGCAGTGCAGAAACAGGGCATGAGGGGGTAGGGGGTCGGGGAGTTCCTTATGAGGCTAGCAGGTCCTATTTTTAGGGCAAGGTAAGCCAGCTAAAACTGAGTTGGATGGTTACTATTGGCATATGTTAGTTTTCCTTGACAGGATTTCCCCATAAGTGCCAATGATCTAAATACTAACTGATGAACTATAGGGTAGACAGTGACAAAGAACCAACTGCCACAATGACCCAAAAACTCCAAAATGCCACACTTCATCAGGAAGGGCAGAGAAACAATTCTCTTCACACAGACCCCCTCACTTGCAGAGCTATGTGCAGCTCTGGTTATCTTCTCAGTAGCATAAATACAGTGAGAACTAAATGCGGCACAAGAAAGGACTAGTATTATAATTAAAGTTAACTAAGACCCTTTCTGCATGAAAAGTGAGGCCCAAGATGCTGGTCACTCAGGCCACTTTTGTCACGTTATATCGATATCCCTTTATCCAAGCTGTTTCCTCAGAGGTAAAAACAGGCATTATAACTACTTTGTTGAGCTGTTATGAAAATTTAACTATATGGAAAACTAGACACAGGGGTTCCGAATTAGAAGCTCCAGAGGACCAATGAGTTTTCTGAGGTTCCCATGAAATTATACAGATGTATCTATACATTTTGCCAGGTACAGAGTCCAAAGATTTCAGTGGATTCAAAGTCTATGGCCCCTGAAGCAAAAAACCACCAGCCTAGCAAATAGTAGGCATGCAATAAATATATATAATGCTTTTTTTTTTCCCTCCATCCTTTCTCTTCCTTCAAGTGTTGTCTATGCTGTGATGTTAAGGAGGAAATTATGGGGGGCAGCTGGTTAGCTCAGTTGGTTAGAGCGCAGTGCTCATAACACCAAGGTTGCCGGTTCGATCCCAACATGAGCCCTCCATAACTAGACTGAAACAACTACTTGACTTGGAGCTGATGGGTCCTGGAAAAACACACTGATCCCCAATTAAAAAAAGAGTTAAAAGGAAAAAAAAAAGGAAATTATGTACGTGCCATTTTACTATGTCTCCTATGTTAAGTTAGGGCCTGAACAGGAAGTTTCCTTTTGAATAGAGTGCCAGGAAAAAACTTGGCATCTCCTGAATCACTGGCATGTTTCTTCTTTCTAAGAAAGTTACAAAATTTAACATGCTTTGATTTCTGCTCTGACTGCCAAGAACTAAAGCAAAACCAATGTATGGGTCATAGACACTGTTATCTCTTGCAATGAACAATTTATTCCTTCCTCTGTTCTTTGATCAAACTCTCCCATTTCTAGTCTATTAAACTACCACACTCACACAATGTCAAAATCGTCTTGGTAGGAGCAGTACATCAGGAATAAAAAAATACAAAATACTTAGTTTGAAAGACATTACAAATGTCTATAAAATATATATGACTTGGACTAAGAGCTTTGTTTAGCAAATTCCAGAATATTATAAGATAGGCTTAGGAAAAATAAGAAGCACAACATCATACAGAGTGCAATTTATTTGTTAGTCTAAGGGATCATATATAGGCTAAATAAAGACAGATTTGTAAAGGTTAACATAAATGGCAGGTCCTTAATAGCTTAGGCTGATCCGGGCATTTGCAAACTTCCCAAAGCGGAGGTTGAGGTGAGGGGGTTTAGTGATGATTTCTGTGCCAGGGGTCCTAAATGCTGCTAAAAACCAACCACTGGGCTACATGAACTCAGCGCTAGGATTCTTTTGTTTCTGAGACTCCAAAGAGTGGAATTGGTCCTATAGGGTCTCTAATTAAACTTACAGGTCTTTAAGTAAACTTCAACACTAAATGACTGAACAAATATGGAAACGCATTAAAATGTATTCTCAGTAAAAATCTTTAAAGACCCTGTAGAAAAAGAAGGAAAAAGAAAAGTGGGAAATTATGAGGAAAGCTTTAACTGCAGACAGGAAACATTTGGCACAGGTCAACCTCTCCCCAAACTCGGCACTTTATCACCCCTTCTTTAAGTCTCAGATCTCAAGAAAGGCCTGAGATAGCCAGTTTAAATCACTAACTTGACAGGACCCAATCTTGATTTCTTTTTTTATTTATTTAAGACATAAAGTTAAACATAAAGAGTCATCACACTCTAATGCTTATACTAATTGTAAGACCCCAAAATATGGACAGTGTTTATGGGAATAATTCTTTGTACTTACCTTAGAAAAAGAAATTGTTGTATTCTGATACTGTGAGTGTATTTGGAAAATAAGAAAAGTCACATTGCTGGAAATATTACGCAAAATAGCTTCCTCTGGAAAGGGCCTGTTGAGCTTGAAGTATCTAAATTTCCCCACAGAAAATTCAATAACACCTACAACGGGAGAAACATTTCATTTAACATTTGCACCTCTGATATCAATTTGCAGAAATCATATACATAAATATAAGTGCTGCTGATTTAATCCTCAGGAAGAAAAACCTGTTGAGATAAATATTACCATTATTGCCCCCATTTCACTGATGAGGACAATAAGCTTAAAGAGGTGAAGCAGCCCACCCAGGGTGACTCAGCTAGCAGTAAGTGGTGGAACTAAGAACTAAAAGGGAAAAAAGCGATTTCAAAAGATACAAACACCACTTCAAGTGCTGAGGACGCCCAGGGTGCCTGGCTAAGAAAAATTCCCCATTTGGTAGCAACAATAACAATTCTATTCAGAACAGAGTCCCTGAATTTAAGGATTAACAGCCCTAAGGAACTACTAACAATTGCGAACGCACTGGTATTCAAGAACAGTACATTCTAGTGAATTCTGTAGCCAGCCTAGAGACATAGGGGTGGCTTCAATTTTATCCCAGCATTTACTAGCTGTGTGATGCTAGGCAAGTTTCTTCATTCCCTTAAACCTCAATTTCTTTATCTGTCACATGGGAATATATACGTAGCTTGCAAAAGAAGGTGCCATCAACATTAGCAAAAACGTCTTCTGAGTGCCCATGCCAAATACTTCACATATAGTCATGAAACATGGGCATTCTGGAAAAAAGAGCTTTCTCTTTAAGCATCAAGTTCAGTCACATAAAAGACAGGTATGGCAGTAGTTCTCCAACACCTCATCTAGGCCTCTCCCATCTGTCTACTTGCTTCCATTTCTGGTTGTGTTTCACGCACTCACTCACTCTGTTCATATTTATTTCTCTTTCTCCTTGCTGCACACCAGTTCTTTTTCCAACTTAATTCTCATATAACCTACTAAATAGGTAAACGGGTGAAGACAAATCACAACTCAGAAATACTTGGAGAACAAAAACATTTAGTAGTGGTTTAAAAGACAGTAAGGAAAGCAGGACCATAGAAATTAAAATACATTATTAAACTAATAACTTTAAGTAGGGGTATTAAATATAGGTATCCCTGGGAATATATTTCAAGTGATTTTTCTTTGCACATTTCATTGTTTATAAAATTTCTCTAGTGATAGTGTTGGGAGCCAGCTGCACCTCAAGTGTCTGACATGGCCTAGCACACTGCTATTGTGACAAATTCTGAAGCTCTGACTGAGAAACAGATACTGCTTTATGTCTTGGAAAATTTAAATTCCCCTTTGGATGCCCCCAGTAGGATAAAGATCTGACACCCTTTCTTATATTGATTGTTTTATTTACTTTAACCAAGTAAGTGAGTTTTGGACGTATTACAATAATTCTGTTTTACTGTTAGTTTCTTAGTGATAGATTCTTAGTGATAGACAAGTTAAGCACCTTATAATTCTTAAGATCCTGTTTAGCCAGTAGTGTTTGAAACAATTGCTAAGTAGTAAATATCCTTTAAGAGCCAAGGTAGGAACTCAGCTCTGGCCATTATCTGGCCATTACCAGTAGAAATTGAAACATAGTTAGGATAAGTTAGTCATTAGTATAGAACAGATCGGGCTGTTCCCTGTAACAGAAACATCGTGAGGAAGTAAAACTCTGAGAAAAACAAAGTTCTAAGGAAAACAGATCCTGGGAAGGAAGGAACATTGAAACTAGGTAGAAAATAATTTCCTAATGGGTAAAGGTTTAAACTTGGAAAAACAACTCTGGGAAAAACAGCTCAATGATGTAAATAGTCAACTGCCCAGTATAAAAGGGACATGCTGTAAAAATAAAGTGAGACATTAATTCTTGAAAGCGCTCCTGTGTCTCTGCACGTTCTTTTTCCTCGCTGACGCCGGCTCCACCTGAGGGAACCACCTGAGGGAACCCCTGGACCTGCGGGAGCTGGTCTCCCTCAAGTGAGGTGTTCTTATCAGAAAGAAATTGAACAATTTGAAAAAACCATTTCATGCCTGATGGAACTCAAAACACAGGTTCTTCATTAACTCTTCAACTGCAATTTATAAAATAGGGACACATTCCTACTTGTACAAAATGATGACTCTCTCAACACTTCTGTCACTTGCTTTGTTTTCTCCTTAAGATGACAATATTTTCCTAGCTAATATATAATCCTTATTTAAAAAAGATAAGAAAAGGAAGTTAATTCCTCTGGCAAGTATACTATACAGAAATAACCACTATTAACAGTTTGGTATACATCTTTCAGGATTTAGGTATCAGAGTAAGTATTTTTATGTAGATAGAAAAGTAGATATAAAAATATTATATAAATACATTTGATACAGCCCACTTAATACATCTCAGGTATCTTTCCATGTCAACATAATTCTTGCTTTACAATTTTAAAAGCTTACCATTCTGTGTACATAACTATAATTACTTAACCAATCCCCTACTCATGAATATATAGGCTGCTGATTCCAGCATAAATATAAAATAAAATACAGTAAAACCTTGGACTGCAAGTAACTTGGTATGCAAGTGTTCCCCAAGACAAGCAAACATTTCTAATACATTTTAACATGGTAAATGAGCAATGTCTTGCATTACGAGTAGTTTGTTTCTGGAACGAATTATGCGCAGAAACCAAGGTATTACTGTCAGCCAGTAAACCTATTTGCTGATATATGTATTGGTTGTGACAGTGTATAACAGATCACCTTTGATTATAAGTGGTAAAACCACCTAGGAAGTCTTGTTCTCATTAAGAAAATCAGTAATGCAAAAAATTTAAAAAAAAATCAGCAATGAAAACAAACAGCCTATGCGAGAATATATAATGATTAGGACAAAAACATTGAGTTATACAATCTCTGTTTCTGACTTCTTCAAGAATACCTGGCATTTCAGAAATAGTTACAACTTTCATCTATTATTTCCTGAATTTCCAAAAGCTATGGGAAGATCATGCCTCAATAACCCTCTTTCTCCAGTCAAATGATTGTAGCAAGAACTAGTCAGAAGCCAGATAATAAAGGAGAGAGACACTGTGTACATTATTATTTTAAAAACTGGTCACTTGACAAAATAACTAGGGATATTAAAAGCAGGCACCTCTGGGGGTGTACTTTAAATGACTTTTTCTTTTCTTTACACATTTCCTTATTTTTCAAATTTTCTATAGTGCTCATGACGTGTACTTATTAGGAAGAAATTCTAATACAATGGTTATCTACCCTGGCTGTGGATTACAATCAACTGGATATCCTTTTTAAAAAATATTGTTGCCTGGGCCCCTCTCCAAACCAGGTAAATCACAATCCCTGGGCTTAGTTAGGATCCTAGCATCAATTTAAAAAACAAATAATTATTCAAATAACATACATGCAGAGAAGTACACAAAGTTTACAATGCCAGGTCAAGAAACAGCATTCTAGCATCTTAGAGGTCTCCTTGTGCCCCCTTCCAATCACTACTTTTTCCCTCCTCCCCAAAGGTAACCAGGATCCTAACTTCTAACACCATAGGTGGGCTTTATCCTGTTTTTGAAATATTTAAGTGTAATCACAGTATGTTCTGCGTCTAGCCTTTTAAAAATTAACATTATATTTCATGAAATAAATACACCACAATTTATTCTACTATTAAGAGCATTTGGATTACTCCTAGTTTGGAGTTATTATGAATAACTCCATTCAGACATTTTTTTAACATGTCTTTCGGTGCACATGTGTACACATTTCTATTGGGTAGAACCTTTAAGTAGAATGATCAGGTAATAGAGTGCACTGATGTTCGTAGATAATGCCAGTTATTCAACCTGGTTTTGCCAATTTACACCCCTGTGAAGTTGTGGGCAAAGTATTCCAGTTGCCCAACAGTCTCACCAACACTTGGTATCATCAGTTTCTCTGCTGGGTACACATAATAGTGTCTCCCTGTGATTTTAATTTGCATTTCTCTAATTAATGATAATAAGAACATTTTGTCTTATTTGCTATGTGAATATCTTCTTTGTAAAGGACCTGTTCAAGTCTTTTTGCCCATTTAAAAAACTGGATTATCTGTTCATATTGAATTGTAGTTCTTTATACATCATCAATATGAGTATTCTGTCAGATATGTTTTACAAATATCTTCTAATACTCTCTTCACTCTCTTGTTACCTTTAAAGTTTTAATTTTAAAGTAGTCCAGTTTTTCAAGTTTTTCCTTTATAATTATAAAGAAATCTTTGCCAAAAATATTCCATTAACATGAAGATACATTCCCCATGTTAACTTCTAGAACTTCATTTTACCTTTCACATTTGAGGTTGAAATTAATTTCTATGTATGGTGTGAGGAAGAGGAGGTTGGGGGAGGTGTCAAGGTTCGTTTTTCCATATGTATATCCAGTTGACGTAACAACCATTACTGAAAACACAGTTTTCCTATTGCTCTGCAATTCCACCTTTCACATAAGTCAAGTGACCATATGTGAGGGTTTGTTTATGGACTCTTGCGTTTCACTGATCTATTTGTCACTGCTAACACCAATAATACACTGTCTTAATTTGTCCAAAATGTGTTCTTTCTCTTCAACACTCTCTTGACTATTTTGGGCCTTTTTTCACTTACATATAAATCTTAGCAGCTTGTCAATTTCCAGAAAAAAAGCCTGCTGGGATTTTGACAGGGATAGCACTGAATTTATTAATTTAGGGAGAAATTGTATCTTTATAACAGAATTTTCTAATCTATGAATTTGAGATATCCCTCTATTTACTGTTTCCCAATTTATCTCAGGAATGTTGTCTAGTTTTCTGTCCTGCTCTTCACATATCCGATAATTATCCCTAAATAGTTAATGTTTCTTGATGCTACTGTAAATTTACTTTTTCTTTTAAATTTCAATTCCTATTTCTCTCTTCACCAATATGCTTTTCTTTAAAGTTCTCCAGGTGATTCTAATGTTTAGCTAGGTCTGATAACTCCTAACAAAATGTTTGATGAACTAGGCAAGGATAAGTATATTTTCCCCTATTCTTAGTTATCTCTAACCTAACTTCTGTGTGGTAAATCCTTTGGCATTGTTACCTTAGCAGTCCGATACCCATTTCACAGTTTTTATAGAAGACTGCGTATTAAAAAAACCAGTATGGTTTGACTCCTGGCTATGTAAGGATTTGTCATGTTTGATGTGCAAAAGCCTAGTACAGTACAAGTCACCTAGCTGGCACACAGTAAATGTTTGTTTAGTGAATGATATTTGAATTTTGTGACCGCAGGTGAGCAATTTATTTCCTCTGGGCCTCAGTTCCCTCACGGTACAATGGAGGTAATTGTGCTGCATAAATCATTTTGGCTGCTGAAAGTATCAAACAAATGGGGAATTTTTTGTAAACTGTCCAGTACTACACAATAAAGCATCATTATTAACTTCCATTAGCTTTCCAGTGCTTCAGAGGCTCATCTTCTTAAAAAAACAAAACAAACAAAAACCAGGCATTTTGTCTGGTCCTACAAATAAACTAGTGGGAAGAAAAGGACTAACAGGTATAAATGTTCAGCATATTCATCACAAATATCAAGTTGAGAAGGACACTTCCATTGAGTGACAAGGAAAAATACTGAAAGTCAAGACAACTTTATCAGTACAGCCTAGCAGAATCCGTATTTCATTTCTACTCATAAAAGCAGACATGGCAAATCAAGACATCTTTCCAAAATATATCCTGAAGAAGTGAATAGGAACTTAACTTCATCTCTAAGCCATCTGAAAAAGGATTCATCAGAAACATTTTACAAGGCATAATTAGATATCAGGACTTTGGGAGTGGGAAGAAAACAGCACATCAAATGATATTACAGAGCAAATGGCTACTAACATGGACACAGCATTTTTGCTATGCCTCTCCTCTAAAAAGCAGTGTCTCGGCTTTTCCTACCAAAAATATTTTTGCCATCTGCCCCATAGCAGGGGACCCTTCTGTTTTTCATACCCTCCCTCCATTCCTACCCAGTCACTTTTTCTTTCCAGTAATTCTATTCTGAAAAGAGCTTCCCAATCCTTATCTTTTCCTTTGCTTTCCCAATCAGATCCTAAACTTGCAACCTTAAAATTTCCAACTCTTCCTTTTTACTAACTTACTAAAATTTACGTCCATTGTTTATGTTTTGGCACAGCCACCAAATTCTAGGACAGCTCTGAAAAGCTGAGTCTTCAGAATTCTCTTCAGATGGAATATTAAAAACAAGTTCATTCAGCTACGTGAGCTGGTTGGCATTCAACTGCTCCTCCCTATTTCTCATTCACATCCTCTTATGAATTTTCATTAGCCCTAAAAGCTGAAAGGAAACACAAAAATGTACATACTACCTTTCCCCTAGTTTTTTTGAGAGGAAGGGCCTGCTACCTGACAGACAGCAGCAGTACAAACATTAGAAGGCTCAAATGAATTTCTGCTCAACTCCAATTGCTACGTAATTCCATGTGAGTTTTGGGGTATGAAACGGAAACAATAATGAAAGATATTAAAGACAGCAGAGAAGTGGGACTTCAAGATAAGGGAAAACCGTTTAAATGCATGATGCACCTCCTGTGCTCTGTGGGTCACAGAAGGCACCTTCCTCAGACATTCTAGGAACTAGATCTGCCACCTTCAAAGATTCATTTGGTTTTCAAGCCACTAAAGTTGTGCGAGCTAGCTCCTGCTAAGAGATGGGTAAATCCTAAGTCACAGCAGTTGCTCAATTTCTTCAGTTTGTATAATTATCAGAATCCTCAAATAGAAATTCAGCCGTTTTTCGGGGATCATGCAACTCTCAAGTTTTTCTTAAAGACCATGAAATTTGGAGTGAGACACACTTGGGTTCAAATGTCGCCTGTGCCCCTATTAGCTGTTTGCTTGTGTAGTAAGCATCCTCCTGGGGCTCAGCTTCATCCTCTGCCAAGTGAGGACTGTAATTATTTCATAGGGTTATGAAGATTAAATAATAATGCCATGAAAAGCACCTGGCACACTCTGCATGCAGTGAATGTTGTGTTAATGTCCTATTATAAAAAAAGCTTTTTTTTCTGCAAACATGTAATTGCCCTTTCCAGCTTGGGCCCTAAGTCCTATGCAAACATTCTAGGATTCAGTTTGTACAAGAGCTTTTCAGAGATAACCATTTAAGAACACAATCACGTTACTCAGAAAATATTATGCTTCAGTACTGCAACTAGTCTCTTATGCTCGAAACAAAACTAAGAATGTGCTTAACCTCGCAGAAAAAGCACATGATTATCAGCCTGGCACAATCAGTGCTTTTTACAGTTTATGCATTAACAAACCACAAAGTACTGCGAAAACCCATTCATCAAGCACATGACCCACAATCTCACGTCCCATTCTGAGTTCACTTTTCCTCTCAAACTCTGTCGAGCTTACCAATTTGAAAAGCATCTAGATTTTGGAGTGTAAAAACCGGCTGCAGCCTGAAGGGCCATCAATCTTAAAGCCCTCAGTTCTGCACCAAGCCTTACCGGCCAAAGGTTCAGATAACGCCACTTGGGAGCAAAGAGGTGCTTTAGAGTATTAAATTAAACCCACAAACATGGCTGCTCTCTGAAGGAGATAATGTGTCTGAACAACTGAGTTATCTCTCCCCATTTCACCAGCCTAAATTACGAGGCTGGCAGTAAGGCTCTTTAGCAAAGGGAGTTTCCTTCTGCAGGAAAGGACCCTGATCCATTCCTGTGCATCTTAATTCACCAACTCTCCCGCTGGGTGGACAGACCCCGGAGTGGATAAATTAAAAAGCAACTTCAGTTGCAGAAGCGAGGCGCGCCGACCTTACCCACGCTGGAGTTCCCGACGATCTCGGCTCCACCAGCCACCCCTGGTTGCAACGCCATCATCGTCAGGGCCAGGACCCGAAAGACTTCCATAGCTGCCTGGGCCTGGCGCAACAAACGCCTCGGTCGGAGAGGGGCGAGCGCAGGGCCGCGGAGCCTCCTCGCTCTCGCTATCCCGGGGCGCTCGCGCCGGGCACCATCGGCCGCCAGGTGCTCACGCTGGGCACCGTCAGCCGCCAGCTGCTCGCGCCCGGCGTCTTCGGCCTCCAGCTGCTCGCGCCCGGCGTCTTCGGCCGCCAGCTGCTCGCGCCCGGCGTCTTCGGCCGCCAGCTGCTCGCGCCCGGCGCCATCGGCCGCCAGCTGCTCGTGCCCGGCGCCATCGGCCGCCAGGTGCTCGTCCTGCACACCTGCCAGGTCCGCCGTGCTGGCTTACAACCTCAGCCGCACTCACCAGCTCCAGCAAGAGGATTCCTTCCCGGTAATGACTCCCCGCAGCCTTCCACTGCGCCTCCGCCCCGCCCCTTTTACGACACCGCGGCGTACCTCGTGCGGCGTGCGCCTCCTTCTGGCGCACGGCAGGCTCTCCGCGGGCGGCACTCTTCGGGACTCGTGCGCGGGGCCCGGAGGAGACCCCAGGAAGTTCTGTGGTGTAACCTGTACTTCTCCCTTTTGTATCTTTCCCATTTGCGAAAAACACCGTTAGGGTAAAAATAACTCTTTCTGTTGCGGCCTAACGTCTCCAGGCTCCTGCTACCAAGTTTAACGGTCCCTTGAAAAAAAAAAACAAAAAAAACTGGTGTTCAAAACGCAAGAACAAGTGATTGTTTTCCCCGTAGTAATTGCCTTAGCTTCGCAGGCTGATGTTCGTATGAAAGTGCGGGGGTAATGCAGTTTCTGTGGTGGTTACTACTGGTGAGGAGCACCACATTTAAAAATACCAGTAAAGTTTCGTTTTCTCTAAGCAAAATATCCTCGAAGACGCAAGACCGTAATCTGACCTCTTCTCAAATCTCATACCTGAGTGCTGTTTAAAGGACAATAGTCCATATAACAGGTGAGATGATAGTGGAATTAGATTTATAGACAAAATTATTTGGGGAAGATTGCCCTGCTTTCTTTTTCCTGCTCTTTAAATTTTCCATTTATGTATTTTAATGAGCAACTATCTTGAAAATTACAGTATTCAGTTAATCCACTGTTAAGCTAAAAATCTATAGCAATCACCATATGTTAACAGTCACTCCTTTTTTTCCTGTTCTCCCTCTGCCTGAGCCGAATTTTCACACTTTTAGTAGCGCTGTCTATTCCTATGATGTTTATTCACTCTCCCAGATGCCCATTCCTGTAACTCTCAGGTGAAATCCTAGGAAGATGATAGGGGAGATTATAAGGGTAGCATGTGAATCAGTGATGGATTATTAAATAAAATGTGTTCTGATATTGGAGAGGGAATATTATATAGAACTCTATCTCACACTGTCAAAATGAAATCCCAAAGTATAATAATAAATAAAACCATAAAAGCTAGAAGAAATATGTTTTGTAAAAAATCGATCTCTGGAAAAAAATTGATCTCTGAATGGTTATTTTTCTTGATTTAAATTTTAAGAGTTTGAGCAAAAGTCAATTGGAATCTGGCAGTAACAAATTGGAAGTGGTTTAAAGGGTTCAGGGGAGGAACTTTCTAAATAAAAAAGCAAAAGAGGAAGCCATAAAGAAAATGGTAGTTCTCATTTAAAAAAACAGTAGGACTGGGCCTGCCAAGTGGCGCATTGGTTAGAAGTTGGCTTGGGATGCCTGCTCTGAGCAGCAGAGCCCGGGTTCGGATCCCACATGAGGGCCAGTGACACTGCCCTCTACAGCTAAGTTGGTGAACAGCAGCTCAACCTGGAGCTGGGCTGCTGTGAGTCGCTGGAGACAGCGTAGGCTGCAGTGGGCTGCCGTGAAGCTACCGTGAGTGGCTGGCAGCCAAGCGTGAGAGGCTGGTAGCCAGCATGAGCTGCCAATAACCACTGTGAGCGGCCTTCCAATGGCCGGTGAGCGACTGCCTCACCAGGGGAGAGCGCAATGATAATACCAACTTGTGCCAGTGAAGCGACGTCCTCCACAACTAGACTGAAAAACAGAAGGACCGCAACTTGTCTGTTCCCCTTCCCTGATTCCCCAATGAAAAAAAAAAATCTTTAAAAAAAATAGCCTTTCTTCTCTTATCAGGGTCAACACCCTAATCTAAGCCAAACCCATCTCATTCTTGGATAACTGTAAGACCCTTCACCTAGTGAGTCCTTGGTTTATTCATCTCTAGTGCAAACCTATGACTCAACATACTTCCTGGCACGTGGTAGGCATTCAATAAATAAAGTACAGTGTCAACTAGGGGTGTGAGGTCACAGATCACACCAAATTACAGATAAAACAAGTTGAAGTTATCGCTTATTAATCCTGTTATGGGGAGCGCTGGGGGGGGGGGGAGGAAGGTACCTAACCTAGAAAGGTTGCAAATTAGGCCCCAGCAGGTATTGTTTGGGAAGGGGGCAGGGGTTATGAAGCAGAAGTGGAGCTTCCCAGCTAGGGAGGGTTGGGGTAAACCCAACAAGCCAGTATAGTTTCCTCCACCCTCCCCCAACCCTAGGAGGGTAGTTGGGGATAATCAGCCTGAGAAAGAGTGTATATGAGTTCTTCCAAGTCTACAAATCAGTCGTTTGCTGATTTCAGGCTTTTTTCTTTCCAGACTACCCCCAGGATAACATTCCTTAATACAAAGTTTATACTATTTGTCTTCACACTTAAACTCTCAATAGGTCCCAACTCTAAATCTAAATTGCACAGCTTACTTAGCCTTCTAAAAATTGAACCTGCCCTTCCTATCATCTGGCTTATTTTCCAGGAACCTCCTCTCTTACGACTACACAGTATACACCTCCCCTGTCCTCTCCAGTAATTCTCTTTGTTCCTCACTCTTTTTCCTCACTGTCATACAAACAAGAGATGTTTATCAGTTGCCTAGGTTCATGTCTTACCTCTTAACTCCAAGTGTTCTTTTCACCTTTGCCCACTAAGACCTCCCTTCTTTTCCAACACAGTCAATACAGCTCATTTTAGTACTTAATTTCTAATGCTTTATATCTCACATGTGTCAGCTTTCCCAGCGCACCCACACTCAGATTAAAGCACGTACCCACTCCTCACTTGGGTAAGGCCCTCTGCACCCAAAAGCAACAGGAGGATACGCACCCAGCCCTTCCTGATTGCCTGAATTTTAATTTGGATTTTTTTTTAAATAAAACGTGACTCTCAAGTAGTCTCTTTTTTTAATTATTAGTTTCAGATGTACATAACAATGCAATAGTTAGGCATTTACACCCCTCGCAAAGTGATAACCCCCCCTTCCCCAACTCTCAAGTATTCTTGAGTTGCTTGTTGTGTATATATTTTATGGTCCTGCTGAATGAATACATACATGGGAGGGTTGGCGAAATTCACTCTTCAAAATCTCAGAATCCAACAACCTCCATAAAGTGTTTAACACCTAGGAGCCTGGAGAACCGTATGTTAACCCCA